AAATTGCAACTCTATTTGTTTGCCTGCCAAATTATCTATTCATGTCTTTGTGTTTAAACTGCTAATTGAAGGCCTTATCGGCGGTCGAATTTGAAATTGATTAGTGTTTTAAGATTAGTAGAATTAATGTGATTTTATGGTGTATTGAATTGAACATTGATTTGGTATGATTAAATTAGATTAAATTGTGTAATGTCATGAATTAGGCTAATTACCTTTTTGCCACCACTAGTGGGCCACTACCTAAGACTATACTTGAGCCTTATTACCTTCAAACAAAACATTTCCTCAACCAATTTCTTTGTTGTTGCCGACTAGAGAGAGAGTATAGAGGGATAGCTTCATTTCATCTCAATTTGGCTTGAAGATTAAGGGAATTAAGGAGTGAATTACAAAATTAAGCTTCCTTGCCTACAATCCAAGACTTAAGGTAGAAATTCATCTTCTCATTCTTGTGTTTAAATTGATTCTTGCATGGTTTAGAGCAAAGTTGAAGACTAGAGCCAACTTATGGCTTAAATTGTTGGGTTGAAGCTTAATTGTTGCATGCATGTATATATATTGAAGTTATGAGGTTGTAGTTCATAATTCCTCACATGCATGTCCATGTTTTGAGAGTAGACCATGATTTCATCTTGATTTTGTACAATTTGGCTCATTAGAGCAAGTGTTGGAAGCTTTGAATTGGTTAAATTCATGCATGTTTGCATGTTCTTCATATTCATGAAATTTAGTTTCAATTTGGGCTCAATTGATCTTCCTTTGGGCTTTGATTTTACATTTGAGCTTTGAATCATGTTAAACTTTGAGTTTTGGAATCTTTTCTGGAAAATTGGCCCAAAAAGTATGGTTTCGATGCATCTAAGGTTGATTTGAGCTTGGAAGTTCAAATTTGGAAATTCCAGATTTTGAACACCCGCTTGAGCGGAAAAATTGGCGCTCGAGCGGGAAATTCGTGCTCCCAGTACTTTACACTATTTTGATGTCCGCTCGAGTGGAAGAATTGACGCTCGAGCAGGACCTTGTGTCTTACGCTCGAACGGGTGTCAAGTGCCCAATCGAGCGTGAATTTCACCTATCCAACACTTTTGACTGTTTTGTATAACGCTCGAGCGGGTAATTATACGCTCGAGCAAAAACCTTTGTCTGCATGTCCGCCCGAGCGGAGTAATAGACGCTCGAGCATGACCCCTGTTTTCTGAAAATGCTTTTAAAGTGCATCTTTGTATCCTCATTTCATCCTAGGCATCCTTAGGCCTAGTTTAAGGCATCTTAATGAGTATATAGATGTAGAACCACACCGAGTCTAAGTAGGGACTAAGTCTTTGTTTCCCAAATGTGAACTTAGTGTGTGTTCATCATGTAAACTGTGTAGGTTGGCATCTGAGGACGCGCTCTAGCTCAACTGTAGCCCAGAACTCTGTGAGTAACAACTGTGTAAAGATATGTTCAAATATGAATATCTTCTGAATGGTTAAACTATACTGTTTCTGAATTGATACTGTTAACTGAATGAATGTATGTCCTCTATTCTGAACTGTATTGTGGCATCCTTAGCAACTACTGTTACTGTTACTGCTACTGTTACAGAGATCTCTGTCGGTTTCCATGTTAGAACCACTACTGTTTACTGATATGATGGCCATCATTGACTGCTCGGTCTTTTAAAACCTACTGTTTACTGCACTGCTATGCTAATGGATGTACCACATATGACTGAATAACTGAAATACTGATTTAATGAACTGTTTTCATTACTGTAAGGACATTCATTCTTAACCTTTTTACGCATTATGTTATTCACTGGGCTTTAGCTCACTGTTTATATATATATGTAGGCGTACAGGCACTAGATTGGAGCTAGGAGCGTGGGTTAGACTTTGTTTTTGTCAAGCCAACCACTGTGCCTCACTGCGAGGTTCCGAGCCTGTCAAGCTATGGCTTGGGGGTGTTTTAATTTCTCCCGTCTATCTCTGTATCTGTTTTGTAATAACTGTATAGACTGATAGCACTGTACTGTACTGTTTAACAGGGATTAGGTCCCTGTTCTAATTAACTGTAAATGTTGTACATACTGTTCTGTACTGTTCATGTATATACGTATGAGAAATCTTTTTGCATACAGACTCACAGCTCATTGGACATTGTTTATTTACTGTTTTGGCTTCCGTCATGCCCCTGTACTCTGTATTACTGTCTTATTGTTAAGCAGGCCTTCGGTAATCTCGGATTACTTGCCGGTTACGGTGCTAAACCCATAGGGGCGGGTTTGGGTCGTGACAGAGTGGTATCAGAGCGATACTTAACCACGAGTTATACCGCACACACGTGTCCAAATGAGCTATAGGGTGTCCTAGAAGAGCAATTAGGGCATCACATGAGCATGAAAAGTGTGTGTGGACATGACATGTATATGTGTTAATGTGTTGAAACATATAACTGCTTATGTTTAAATGTTTAAAGTATGCAACTTCCTATGTTTGTTATTATAATGTTGCATATAGTGAAATGGATAATGCAAGCACTGCTAATGAAACTGAATCCTCTGAGGCAAGAATGGCGAGGTTAGAAAGAATGGTGGAACTATTAACTGCAAAACTAGAACAACAATAGAACCAACAACCCCTATCTCCTCCTCCGGTACAGCCGGAACCGAATGTTACTGATGGGGATATAATTGCTCTCACCCAGAAGTTTAGCAAGATGAAACCGCCATCCTTTCAGGGAGGCCTCGAACCGCTAAAGGCTGAAGCTTGCGTCCTTGAGACAGAAAAATTGTTCGAAGTTTTTCCATGTTCTAAAGCACACAAAGTGCTATTGGCCACCTTTACACTACAAGAAGAGGCCAGAAGGTGGTGGATGTTAGTCCGCGACACCAACACTGTTATGACTTGGGCTCAATTCAAGGAGTCCTTCTTCGAAAAGTATTTCCCTCAGTGTGTCAGGGACAGAAAAGTGACTGAGTTTGAACAGCTGAAACAGGGTACCATGTCCGTTGCTGAATATGAAATAAAGTTCACCGAACTTGCTAGATATGCACCACATATGGTGGACACTGACTACAAGAAGGCTAGAAAGTTTGAGGGCGGCCTTAATGTTGCAATACTGAACAGAATAAATGCTATAAAGCTACCGAACTATGTAAATGTTCTTGACCGAGCATTAATGGCTGAGTCAAACATCGAGCACTACAAGAAATTGCACTTTTGGCAACTACTTTTGGCGACGACGTCAATTTTCCATCGCCAAAAGTATATTTTTGGCGACACAGTGATCAATTTCGTTGGTAAAAGTATACCTTTACCAACGCAATTTGCTACCGTCGCTAAAAAAACATAACATTCACTAAGCGCCAAAATTTTTAGTTGGCGCCAAAATTTCAAAACTTTTAGCTACGGGACTTATATTTTAGCAACACAATGAGCGTTGCTATTAGTGTGCTTACTTCTGGCGACGACAAATTGGCGTGGGCAAAGAGTTAACCATTTAGCGACGATAACACTATTCGTCGGTAAAAGTTTTGCTAGTGAAATAAAATAATTTAGTGATTGTGTTTTTATTATAACTTTTCAAAGAGTTTTAAATATTCTAATTACTGAATTGTAAAATTAAAGTGATTATTGAATTAAATCACAAAATGAACCCATTAAGCCCAAACACATTTTTAAGTTGAGATGACTAATTGGAGATAATTTAAACTTTTTTCAAAGAATGTGGTTAGATTATTAATTTCAATATGTTAGATTTTATTTTCAGAATCTAGCTTCAATTTTCTTTTTCTAAAAAACAAAAAACAATTGGGTGAAAAAATAAAAAAATACTTATTATTTTTGTATAATTTTATCTTTTAAGTCATAAATACTTTTTAAAATTTTAAAAATATAGTTTTGATTTTTATTGCTCTCAAATTGATTTTAATTTTTCCAAAAAAAAAAAAAAAAACCTAAAAATTAAGGGGTTGTTTGGGGTGTCCTAAATAAGTGTACTTTTTGTCTTTTTAGACTAAAAAATTGAGGAAAAAAATTTGAATGTTTGGGTTAACTTTTTGATTTTTTTATGGAAAAATGTGTATTAAAAATTTGTATAAATTAGTGTATAGGGGAAAATTAGGATTGGGAATTGTGCAGTCATACTTTTTGACTTTTGGTGAATAGTGATAACTTTTTAACTTTTTGAGTAACTTTTTGACTTTTTAACTTTTTTTCAACTTGCCAAACTTGGCCTTAATATCGAATCAGTGTTTTAAGCTTTTGTCCTTTTAATATTATTTTGAACTCCCTTTCCTTCCTTACATTATGTGAAATGCTACATATGAAAATTAAATCCATTTTCTAGTTTCAGTTTTTGACTTCTCATTTATTCAGGTCTACTTTAACACTTAACAGCTATCCATCTTTGATTATTAAATTATTGTGCATATTTAATTAGTTAATGCTATTCATTTGTTGTTGTGTGTAAAGTTTTGATTTTAATAAAATCAAAAGCATCTATCCTTGTAAGTGTAGATTTACAAATTTGAACATACTAAATTCTAAATATAGAATTATTGTTTGACTACAATAATAGTGATTGCGTTGAAATTCAATTTTTGTTACCAAAAGAAAGAAAATATGGCTTCATCTTTACTGCTTCCACGCGGTAACACACTACAATAGTGATTACGTTGTTGCTTAGATGTTCTTCATCTTTAATTCTGCTGGCTGCTGCTACTGCAACGTTGCTGTGAGGCGTGCATGCTGCCAATCTATCTGATGAAGAACTTACTGAATCAGCACTTGTGATACGTGAAACTTCTGCAACATCCACTAAAGATGCTGACCAAGGTTTTTCTGATTGACTATGCTGCAGGAGAGGTAATCTAGCTTAACATGGATACTAGTTACCAAAGCTACCTGCTCATTATAATCTATTTATGGAATTGATATGAATTTATTTGTTAATGACCTATATATATATGCTTGAAAAAGTATGAGTATCTAAAAGCTCCTGATAGTGTATCATGAGTAGAGCTTCAAGGCGTCCACAATGTTACTCTCTACACATACAGGAGTTTGGTTCGGTTCCTCTGTAACTCCCCACCCCAATATTGTCACATCTCTTAAATTTCAAACTAAACCCAAATCTTTAAGGCTTCATGCCTCCTCCTCACTCTTCAATTTCCCTATCGCAAGCAAGATCATGGTTAAAAGTATGTTTTCATCTTCCTTTTCTGCTTTATATATGTAATTTATGTTGATATATATCTATAACATATATAAAAAGTGTGTAAGAGTGGTATACCGCTGCCGCCTCCAGTGATATAACGCTCCTGTTTGCTTGGTTTCTAACTCTTTGCTTGCAGATTTTGGGTACGTGGGCTTCAAATCATCCACATACATAATAGAAGAAGACAAATTTCATCACTTTTCCTAGAAATTTCCAAGACCGACCGGTGCTCCTGTTACTTGCCTATTTTCCAGAGCTTATCTATTACAACTCACCCATGCAAATCCTTTATTACAACTCATGAAGAGGTCTCTCATATTGAGAGCTTGGACTATGAGTAAAAACATCTTACTCTGTTCTTGCATTCTAATGTTCCTTTTTCTTCTTCACATTCTTCTTTATGCAGCAAATTCTTTTTATACAGGATCAATGAGAATGATCTCTTCAAGCATGACTGGAGAAGCAGATCAAAAGTCCAAGTATTGCAGTATATTTTCTTAAAATGGACGCTGGCTTTCCTTGTTGGGCTTCTAACTGGCATAATTGCCACATTCATCAATCTTGCAGTCGAGAATATTGCAGGGTACAAGCATCTCTCCATGGTTCGATACATAGAAGAAGAAAGGTATTGTTATATCCTTGCACTAAATTAAGAAACTCATTTGAAATATTTTCAGCTAACAGATAATTCTCAAATATCCTTCACCCAAAAAAAAAAAAAAATGTTTACCTTGGCTAGAGCTGGGAATTGAGAAATGCTTTGGCAATCATCTTGGTGTATGCAGGTACCTGATGGGATTTATATTTTTTACTGGTGTTAATTTTATTCTGACCATGGTTGCTGCTGTTCTCTGTGTGTGTTTCACACCCACTGCGGCTGGACCTGGTATCCCATAAATCAAAGCTTATCTCAATGGGGTAGACACTCCAAACATGTTCAGTGCTACAACATTGATTGTCAAGGTGAGTGACATCCTACTTTTGGTGAGTAGTGATAACTTTTTAACTTTTTGAGTAACTTTTTGGCTTTTTAACTTTTTTTCAACTTGCCAAACTTGGCCTTAATATCTAATCAATGTTTTAAGCTTTTGTCCTTTTAATATTATTTTGAACTCCCTTTCCTTCCACAATGTGAAATGCTACATATGAAAATTAAATCCATTTTTTAGTTTCAGTTTTTGACTTCTCATTTATTCAAGTCTACTTTAACACTTAACAGCTATCCATCTTTGATTATTAAATTATTGTGCATATTTAATTAGTTAATGCTATTCATTTGTTGTTGTGTGTAAAGTTTTGATTTTAATAAAATCAAAAGCATCTATTCTTGTAAGTGTAGATTTACAAATTTGAACATACTAAATTCTAAATATAGAATTATTGTTTGACTACAATAATAGTGATTGCGTTGAAATTCAATTTTTGTTACCAAAAGAAAGAAAATATGCCTTCATCTTTACTGCTTCCACTCGGTAACACACTACAATAGTGATTACGTTGTTGCTTAGATGTTCTTCATCTTTAATTCTGCTGGCTGCTGCTACTGCAACGTTGCTGTGAGGCATGCATGCTGCCAATCTATCTGATGAAGAACTTGCTGAATCAGTACTTGTGATACGTGAAACTTCTGCAACATCCACTAAAGATGCTGACCAAGGTTTTTCTGATTGACTATGCTGCAGGAGAGGTAATCTAGCTTAACATGGATACTAGTTACCAAAGCTACCTGCTGATTATAATCTATTTATGGAATTGATATGAATTTATTTGTTAATGACCTATATATATATGCTTGAAAAAGTATGAGTATCTAAAAGCTCCTGATAGTGTATCATGAGCAGAGCTTCAAGGCGTCCACAATGTTACTCTCTACACATACAGGAGTTTGGTTCGGTTCCTCTGTAACTCCCCACCCCATTATTGTCACATCTCTTAAATTTCAAACTAAACCCAAATCTTTAAGGCGTCATGCCTCCTCCTCACTCTTCAATTTCCCTATCACAAGCAGGATCATGGTTAAAAGTATGTTTTCATCTTCCTTTTCTGCTTTATATATGTAATTTATGTTGATATATATCTATAACATATATAAAAAGTGTGTAAGAGTGGTATACCGATGCTGCCTCCAGTGATATAACGCTCCTGTTTGCTTGGTTTCTAACTCTTTGCTTGCAAATTTTGGGCACGTGGGCTTCAAATCATCCACATACATAATAGAAGAAGACAAATTTCATCACTTTTCCTAGAAATTTCCAAGACCGACCGGTGCTCCTGTTACTTGCCTATTTTCCAGAGCTTATCTATTACAACTCACCCATGCTAATCCTTTATTACAACTCATGAAGAGGTCTCTCATATTGAGAGCTTGGACTATGAGTAAAAACATCTTACTCTATTCTTGCATTCTAATGTTCCTTTTTCTTGATTGGATATAAACTCCATGCTAGAGCTCAACCAATCATGGCATGGAGACAAAAAAAATCTTCCATTTTCTTTATTAGTTAGTGGTAACTACTAACAAAATGATGTACAAAAGAGATCTCACATTTATTGGCCACACCAATGAGTGAGTGGAGTGGTTGTGTGTGAGTTTGAAAGAGATTTAATATAAAAAGAAAAAGAAAAAGAAAATAGAGAAACAATATATAAGTTCAAAGGTTATTCTGTTACTCCCATTTTATGTGACATGGAGTTTTACTTGGGAATACTTTATTGTTGTATTGGGAATTTCTGATGGGGAAATCTAACCTTTATAAATGTCTTTGAACTCGCTGCCATGGCGTCTCAGAGTGTAATTGGTTCGTTGGCTTGGACAACTGGCTTGCAATTGGAAACCTCCTCACTCCTTTCGCTCATGGCTATGCCGTACAAGGCCTTTGAGGTCTGTTCTTTCATTCCATCTTCTGTTTGTTTCATTGAATTTGATTCACGATTGGAATTCAGGGCATTTTCGCGAGTTGAATTTTTTATTCCAAAAGCAATGAATTTTGCTATGTGTTTTGAATGACTTTGAATTATTTTATTCCAAAAGCAATGACTTTACTTTGAATTCCAAAAGCACTCTGATTTGTAATTAATAAACTTCTGATTGGGTATTGAAGGGAGATAAGGGGTTAAATGGACTTTGATTTGGTAAAAGGAATATAAGGGTTCAAAATGACTTTCGAATAGTATATTTAGCTACCTAAAGAAACACCTAAAAAACTTAGAAGGCACCAAAAACTCAGGTACATTTTAGCTACCTAAAGAAACACCTATAAAAAATGATATATATTATATAATACTTTGGATCATAGTTAGACGAATATGTTACTTTCTTTTATTTTCTCTATCAATTTGTGACCTTATTTTTTGAAGAGCTAAAAATTGACTTTCTTGATGCTTCCTTCTCTCATTTCTTTTGCATGCAGATGTTGTAGCTTTGGTTGTATTGATATTATGCAGATCAAATAAATGACCTACTTTTTTGGTCATGAGAGGCTTAAAAGAGTTTTGTGGAATCCTTAATGTTTCTGAATTTATAATTAGTCTGCTTGGTTTGATGTTCAGGGGAATAATCACTATTGTCTTGGTTTTGCAGTTACACAAAGATGCTGTCATCATTCTCCATTCAACCATACTACCTGCTCATATACAGAAGGTCGAGAAGCAACTCACAGGCAATTTATTTTCTCTAGATAAAAAAAATATTTGTATAGAATTTTCTTTTATACTCTTGGTTAACTTTTCTGTTCTGTCTGGTTTGTTGGTGGATGTCGTCGTAGTTTTGTGCTATTTAGTTTTAGATTTATCGGCAGCTCAACAGTGTGTTATGAACTCTTTCTTTTCTTTTTTTCTGTTTCATTCATTTTTACTCAAGATTTATCATAGACGGCCATAGTTGTTCTTATCTTTATTTTTTCCATTAATGAGATTATAGAGCTTTAGCAACTTTTTAACTCTGCCTAGTGGATCATGCCCTCCATTATTGATATGAAAGGTTAATGAGGGCAGGGGAGTGAGTTGAAATGAAAGGACAAGGGAGAAAGTTCATAGTTAAATCATTTTATTTA